CTCTTGTGTACCTTTTGCTAATCTCTACTATACCTTCTAGTAACTTTAGTGTGGCTTTTTAAAAGGGCAGTCATGTAAAATATTCTATATTTCAGCTCCATTTTTTGTTACCCATTCTCTTGCTCCCTGCTGGCCGCTGTCCTGTGACTTCCTTTTATGGTCGCCCCTAGCATTCCTTTTGCCTTCCCTCTAGTTGGTGTGTTTTCTGGATCTCATGTCTTCCTCTTGTTTGGTTTACTCTCCCATTTGGAGGGCATCGTCCAGGACAGACACCTGTCAATATGCAAATGTGTTCAGTTCCTGAGTTCAGGTAGCCCAGAGCAAACAGTGGATGACTCCTGTGGTTTTGTCAAGTAAACAGATGGCTGCAGGGGAGAGGGCACAGTGATGACAGCCCTGAGTCTTGAGTCACACAGCATAGCTCTGAGCAGTGGCCTTGCATGGCTCCATTGGCCTCTTTCCCCCTTCATCCCTTTTCTGTTCTCCTGTATCTTAGAGGACATCTTCCCGTGCTTCCTGAGAAAGGAGTGTCTGAAAATATCTTTATTCTACGCTCACCCTTAAATGATAATTAGGCTGGGTAAAGAGTTCTAATTAGAGAATTATTTTAAGAATTTTAAGCATATTAGTCCTTTGTTTTCTTGCTTTTAATATTAATGTTGAGCAGTCTGATGCCATTCTGATCCCTGAACATTTATAGGTCACTTTTTTCTCCCTTCCTAAAGATATGCAGGATCTCCTCTGTGTCCCAGTGTTTTGAAATGTCACAGTGATGTGCCTTGGCACGGGTCTGTTTGCATCTATCATGTGGGACATTCAGCAGGGCCTTTTCAATCGGACGACTTGTGTCTTTCAGTCCTGAGAAATTCTCTCAAGTTATCTCACTGGTAATTTTCTCCTCTTTTTTTTTTTTTTCTTTTGTAACTCCTCTAGTTTTCAGATGTGGAAACCTCTGGACCAATTTTCTAATCCTCTTTTCCATCCTCTCCTATTTTCTACTTTTTAACATTCCCCTTCTGTTGAGCTTTGTCTTGCTACTAGCACAATTTTTATTTCTAGGAGTCCTTTTGTGTTCCCTGAATGTTCCTTTTTAATAGTATCACATTCTTTTTTTCCATGAATGTAGTATTGTCTCTGTGCATCAAGTGTGTCTCCTCCAAGTTGTGTTTGGTTTTATTTTGGTTTTGGTTTATTTGTTCTGGCCTCTATCTTCCAAGTTAGAGCCTCCCTTTAGATGTCTACTGGTACTTGGTTGTCCTTTCAAGATTAAGAATAGGAGACTTGTTGACTTCCAGGGCCACTGGTTGTCTTAAACAAGGCACTTGGACACCATTTGGGCTGTGGGGTCAGAACCAGATCCTTAAGCCTTTCCTCTTGGACTAAAAGAAGGTGAGGATTTGGCTGTCAGTGTTGTAAGGGCCCAGTGGGGGAGTAGCCGGTAGGACACAACATCACATTTATAATAACCTTCATCTCCTTGGTTTTGACATATTACCTTTGCTCTAATCTGGATAGGCTACTCTTTGTGCAAGGACCGTCTGTTTTCTTCTCTTCAGGGACTAACCTTCAGACTTCTGGGGGAGGTGGATCGAGGGGATTTGCTTCTTTGATTCCATCCTCTGTAGTTTTTACATACACATCCCCTTCACCGCTGGTCCCAGGGGTACCCAGTGCTATCATGTCAAGTGTCTTTTAAGGACTTTGCTATAAATCCGTTTTCATGTTCTGTCTGAAATGGGGAATCTGCTTTCCAGACTCCAACATTTTGGGGGTAGTGTCTCCCTTCTGTTCAGCCCAATCTGTGACTTGACATCTTATTTAAAAAATCTTTCCACTGAGTTGGATTGAGAGGGTCGCGAGATTTGGTGTCTGTATTCAAAGTCCCAAATCATTTTCTGCACCAGTTTTGTCATTGAAATGGTCATGACAGTGACCATGTCAGTTGTGATACCAAGACATTTTCATGATGGGATTCCTTTAAAAAAAAGTTTAAAGTAGTTGTTAGAAACACTACTCATGGCCACCATGGACATTAGAAGTCCATGAAAGGAAATGAAAGCTGCCTTTCATGGAGGGAGGGGGCTTGGCCAGGATTTTTCTTTGGTGGTGGTTTCTGTGGTGCAGTCCTTGGCGTGGCTGCGGAGGAGACCTCAGTGCCAGGAGCAGCAGGGTCATGCTTGGCGAAGAACTGTCATGGTGGACGCGTGCCGCTGTGTCGGGGCTGTGGATCAGGAACAGGTCACTCCCCATGGCAGGGATCCTTGGGAGAAAAAGGGACGCTTCTAAGGCCAGGCGGGAAGCACTGGGCCCCCACAGTGGGCCCCTGGAGCTGGGCCAGCGCGTGGCCTGCCCAGCCTTGTGCTGGATGGTTTTAGATGATGCTGGGTGATGATGTGGGATACTCACGGACAGGTCCCTTCCACTGAGTAACAGAGAAACCTAGAGGTGGGCCCATGTCAGCTGCGTTTGCCGTGAGGACAGTGTGCAGCTCAGATATCAGCAGGTGTCTGGAGGAAGGTGAGAGGAAAGAACATTTCCTTTCCTTTCCGGGGTGTTTGTCATCGGGGTCAAGGCCTCGCCATGTTCTGCTTTTCCTTCCTGCTTCCTTCCTCTTCTCACTGGCAGCCAGAGGGTCACTGAACGTTTTTTTTCCCTCACTGAAACCCCCTGGAGGTTTCCAGGCCTCAGGGCAGCATTATTTGCCTCTTACTTTGTGCCTGGGGCTCCTTGGATTATATTCTGGGGTTCCTGGGCCCCCTTTTGCCCTTGGGACCTCCAACAGCTTGGCAGGGCTGAGGCAGAAGACATCTCATTAGGTCATCTAGTCCAACTCTGCAGCTTTATGGATGAGGAAGCAGGGCCAGAGAAACCCAAGTCATGACTAGAACCCACATCCAGGTTCAAGGTCCTGTTTCACCAGACTCTGCCTTTTAGCTTCCACATTCTCCTAAAGGTTTCGATGTGGGGGTGATTGGGGATATTTGTGTTAACAAATGGAGTGGGTTTGAGGGGGAGTTGCTGGCTTATAATGGATGGACGCCTCCCGGAGGCCTTGCGAAGCTCTGGTTTAGGCCAGTTCTCTGGTGGGCGCTCAGGAATTGTTTCTGTGGGTGATGTAAGTTGGGGGACAGAGCTTCACAGGGACCCCCTTAGAGCTTTAGAGAGATCTGGATTCAAGCTTCTGCTTTGACACCAAATATGGACACGTTCTAATTTTTCTTTTTTTTAATCCTTACCCGAGGATATGTTTATTGATTTTAGAGGGGGGTGGGGAGAGAGAGAAACATTGGTGTGAGAGAGAAACATTGTTCGGTTGCCTCTCATTTGTGCCCTGACCAGGGATCAAACCTGCAACCGAGGTAGGTGCCCTGATCAGGAATCGAACCTGTCACCTTTTGGTGTACGGATTACGATCCAGCCAGCTGAGCCACCCCAGCAGGGCAAGCTCAGTGTGCAGTCCTAACCTTTCTGAGCCTTGATTCAACTATAAACTAGGGACAGTAACAACACTAGTAGCTGGCCAAAGGAAGAATGCCTGTCACGTGCTTAGCACAGCGTCTGACACAAGGGGCCACTATCGCTATCGCTACCTAAGCCCGCCTGTATTGGAGGAGCAGATGTTCACGGAGCCCAGCACTGTGCTAAGCCTGGAAGCGTTCGTTTCACCTCGGGTTCAGCGGGCTCACCCATGGGGCATGGACCACTTGCAGGCTCTCCGAGTTTTAACTATAGGGCCCCTCCTGTCCTGGCCCTAAGGAGCCTCCCCCTCTGTCCCCAGCTTCAGCCTTCCCCTCTGTACCTTGGGCAGAGCCGGGACTGGGGCACCCCCCTCCCAGCCCGGTGTCATCCCTGGGGAAGGCGCTGTGCCCCTGGGAGACCCAAGCCTGGGCTTTCTCTGCTTCCTGGTTTTCCAGGGAGCCTAGTGGGAGGGGGAGGGGAGGACAAGCCCTAGAAGGAGGGGGAGCCTAGGGAAGCAGAACAGGAATTGAAAAGGGAAGGGTGTGGGTGGGCCCAGATCCAGCCTGCCTCCCACTTTCCTTCTCCTGCCAATCCCCTCCCAGGCCCTGGCTGGCGCTCTGGAGGCAGGGGCTTGGCCCACATCTTCTGGTGGGTGGGGAGCAGAACTCTGTCTCTTAAGTGAAGAGAGTTGAAGCGCGCTGTACCCCAACCCCCAGCTGAGGCCTGCGGCTTTGTTATTTCACTGGCTTGAGGCCCACACCTGAGGCAAGGAGGATAAAAATCCCCTAAAATTCAGTTGTGTAGGTTCAGAGGGCCCCCCTTAAGCCCACCAGTGTCTGAAGGCATGGGGGGTGGCGGAGCGAGGGGATGCGCAGCAGCCTCCTCCGCGTGGCCATGGCCTTGGCCTCTCCCACCAGGGTGCCCTTGCCCACAGCACTGTCAGCCCGGGCCTCCAGCCCAGCCACAGCCCAAGTTCAGCCTCAGCTTTCTCTGGGCCCAAACGCCTGTCCTAAAGTGCAGTGACATTCACTTCACTACATCCTGTGACTACCGCTCACTTCCGCCACGTGGGGTGGAAGCGGTGTGGGGGTGGCACGAGCGGAGGACAGATTAGAAGGAAAATGTAGCTGGGCTGGGGACCTCTGGGATTTCCCAGGGGGTGGTTGGGGTGGGAGGGCTGTGGGAAGCTTTCAGAGGAAAGAACAGACGTGAATGAAGAGAAGAGAGGAGGCGGGAGGCAGCTCTAAGTCCCAGACGTGGCTCCCGCTGTGCCACAGCAACGTGGACTGCTGCCGCCTCAGAGGCAGGCACCCCGACGGAAGCCGGGCAGTGCTGTGCCTCCGTTTCCCTTGCTCCCTGGTGGGCTGGGCTGGCCTGCCCTGCTGGTGAGCCTGGGAAGACGCGTGAGGGTGGAGGACCAGGCCTTGCAGGCCAGCGGGCTCTGGGGCTGAGGGCCAGGCCTCGAGGAGGGGGTGGGGATCAGGCAGGGCCTGGGTTGGAGGGTTCGCTACCCTACTGACCCCTCTTCTCTCCCCCAACAGGTGGAGCCTTCCGCAGAAACACAAACCCAGAGGCAGCCTGAGGCGAAGTTTCACTGGACTTTTTCACTCAGCACCCGGATCTATGTCTGACTTTTAACTCTCGCTTACAAAGACTACGATAATTCCTTCCCCAAAGCCAAGCAGCCCCCCAGCCCCGTGCAGCCCCAGCCTGCCTCCCACCGCCCAGCTGCCCGCAATGCCCTCCAGCGGCCCCGGTGACACCAGCAGCTCCGCTCTGGAGCGGGAGGAGGACCGCAAGGTGAGCGACTGGCTCTGCCGGGGACCTCCTAGCCAGAGCCCAGGTCGGGGGAGGGCCCGTCCCCAAGTCACCGCAGCTCAGATGTGCTGAGTGCTGGACCGCACAGCTCAGTTTTCATGCTGGGTGTAGGGAGGACTGATAGCCCTATTTTGGCAGTGAGGAAATAGGCTTGGAGGGAGAGGTCAGCTCCTGGTGGCCGAGGGGGAACTTGAGCCAGGTTGTCAGGTTCCAGGGCCCAGGCTCCCCCGGCCCCCACTGTGGTGTTTGAGCAGAGGTTCAAACCCTAGGTCTGTGCAGTTGTTGGGTCAGCCTTGCAGAGTCCCCAGACATGGATTCCTTTTGGGATTGGCCTTTTACTAGCTGTGTCCTCAGGTGAGTCGCTTACTTTCCCTGTTTTAGCTGCCTCTGTTTCCCCAGGGTGTTCGCTAGCTTCTGGAAGGCTGAAGACAAAGTCAGGGGAGCTTGGTAGGCGTGAGGCCGCGTTGGGGCTTCCCCTCTGGCACGGGCACAGGGCTGTGGTGTGCCGGGTGCTCAGGGTGACGCGCGTCATCGTGGAGATGGTGATTTCCTATCCCCCACCCCCACTCACGAGCAAGTGCCACTTCTGCCCGTGGAGCTAGTGCCTGCCTCATTTTCAGAGCTCTGTGAGGGGTGACCCCATCACCATTCTGTCAAACTCCAGGATGGGCCTAAATCAGAGAGAGGGACTCACAGCGAGCTGGTGGGAGTCCCTGCTGGGTCCTGAAAGGCTGCCTTGGGTGCTCTCCAAGCTGTGTCCACCTACAGGCAAAGCACCCCATCAGTGGAGTAGAAAACCCCGCCATCACCCTTCTGGGGAAGCCGTGCTAGCCACGGGCCTTCCTGGGGTGTCCCATCTGTCAAGCTTGGGTCCCCACAGTTCCCTCTGCCTGTTCCTGTTTTCCTGAGGGGTGGTGGTTCTCGGTGGTATCAGGGAATACCAGGGCATGTTCATGGCGCACAGTTTGTCTTTCTGGAATCGGGATGAACACTTGCTACCTGGTGCGAGGCCCTGAGCGTGCTGAGGAACGTTAGCTCTGCTGGCCCCCTGTGAGGAACTGCTTTGAGACCTGCCCCCTGCTTTCCTCCTTCCTGGGTTTGCTCATGTTTTGGTTTTCTGGGTGCTTTCCATTTATCTGGTCCTTTCAGGACAACCCTTGTGACAAGTGGGGCAAGGACAAATGGCCCTAGTTTACAGATGCAGAAGCTGAGCCCAGCTTCTTAGTCATGGATCCAGGTGGGAGCCTGGTCTCCCGCCTCCTGGGTCAGAGTCTTTCCCACAGGGCCCTGCCTGTGTGGGTCCTGGAAGGGACACACACACACATGCATGCACACACGAGAGCATGAAGTCCAGTCACCTGCCTTCCCAGCCTGGAAACCTACTGCGTGCCACGGATGGGTGCCTACTCAACGGGCTGGGGAGAAAATGCACGGTGCGGCCTGCTGGGCAGGGCTTCTAGGGGCTGCATACAGGTCATTTCCATCTTTCTGACCCCACAGAAAAAGAAGAGGTAGTCCAGGTTATCCCACGGGTCTTCTGGGCTACTCCCACCCAGGACTCAGGCAACAGCAGACTCAGATCCTGCCGCCACAGAGTCGGGGCCATTTGTGGCCACCTGTGCTCTTGAGTGGCAGCTGTGGCCGTGGATAATTCCTTGTCCTCCTTGAACCTGGCTTTGCTCCTCTGTTGGATTAGGTGACCCTGACCCTCTTCCCCTGGTCTGATGTCCTCACTGGTGCTGACACAGCTTTGTGTCCCTGTACTTGCAGTGGGTGGTCAGCTGCCCCCCACAGGTGGGAAAGGAGCGGGCAGCCGAGCCAAATTCCTCCTGGTACTGGCCTATGCCGCCCTGGGCAGCAGCACCCCGGCCCCTCTCATGGAGAGCAGCAGATGGGCGCTCTGTGATGACCATTCAGAATAGAGAAGGGAGTGCTGGATGAAGAGCCAGAAGTCCCAGGTCCCAGCCACTTACTGGAGACATGACTTCAGGCCATCAGGGCTTGCCTTTGCTCAGCTGTGAAATGGGGATAGTAACTCTAGCTGCGCCTGCCCTCCAGGGTGGTTGTGGGAGTCAGATGAGGTCACGGGCATGGAAGTGCCCTGCAGACAGCAAAGTCTGGTCCAATTATGAGGGATTACGATTGCTATTATTATCTACCCATAGTAACTGCTCAGGCTCAAGCGGCAACAAACACATACCCGGTCCCAGATCCTGGTGCAGATAGAGCGAGCTGGTAGACGGGGCTGGGGCACACCCACAGCACGCATGCCGGCTCACCTGGCACACCTCCCTGGCACCCCTGTGCTGGCTCCCGAAGCCCCAGGGAGTTGCCTTGGGAGGGTGGGTCAGGACACTGACAGCCGCCCACAGCAGCCTGTGAAGGCCAGGCCTGGGGCACGGGTGCCTTGTTGCTGCAGAGGGGAAAGACAGGCTGGGGATGGAGCTCAGGGAGCCTGGCAGAGTTGCCAGGGGTACCTGGCACATAGCAACTGCTTGGGAGCCAGAGGGAAGGGGTGTGGCTCACCAGCCCCACGTGCCCTTCCAGCCACCCTCTGGGCCCCGCCTCTGTTCACCTCTCACTCCAGTACTTCCTGGAGCTGCCAGGCCTTTGTTTGTGCTGTTTCCTCTGCGTGCTATGCCCTGTCCCTAACTTTCTCTCCTCTTCTCTGATCAAAGCCCTTCCCTCAGTCTGCCTTGAATTGCCATTTGTTGTGGACCAATGGCCTTCAGAATGTGATTCCTATCCATTCACCCATAGAGGAACGCTTAGGTTGTTTCTTGGCCACTGTATGTAATGCTGCAGTGAACCTAAGGGTGCATGAGCGTGTATTGCTAAGTGAAGTAAGTTAGAAAGGAAAAGACAAAACCATATGATTTCACTCATAAGTGGATCTTAAAAAAATACTGAACAAAAAAGGAAAACAAAAACAAACTCAGAGGAAACAGATCAGTGGGTACCAGAGGGTAGAAAGGTTGGAGGGGGAGGTCGTGAAGCGGAGAAGGGTGTCTGTTACATGGCGACGCATACTAACTCGACGTTTGGGGATGATCACTTTGTAGTGTATACAGATATAGAATTATAATGTTGTACCCTTGAAACTTATATAATAATTTAAAAAATGTGATTCCTAAGCCAGCAGCACCTGGAAAGGTTACAAATGCAAAAGCTCAGGCCCCACCCCAGACCTGCTGAATCAGAAGCTCTGGGGATAGGGCCCAACAATCTACGTTGTAACCGGCCCTGTATGGAATTTGAGGAGCACTGGTATGGATAATACCCAGCCCTGCGGCTGCCCCTGGAGAGCAGGGCCCCAGGGCCTGACTAGCACAGAGTAGGTGCTCAGGAAATATTTTGCGGATAAGACAAAAAAGAAAACGTGAGTGGGTAAGACCCCTTCACAGGAGAGCAACCCCAGAGCCCAGGATGAGGCCGGCAGGGCGCAGGGCTGTGGGTGATGGGCTGAGTGGCCATGCTCTGGGGGCGCGTGCGCAGAGGGGTCTGTGCATGTGGACCACCCTGGCACTTGCTCAGCATCCCTTCTCCCTGTAGGCCCCCAACCACAGCGGGGCTTCTAGGGGAAGCTGGGAGGAGGCAAGTCTGAGCTCCTAGGCTCTGGCCAGGGTGGGGCAGCTGGGTAAATGTGGGTCACAGTGGAGGGAAGGGGAGCCGGCCTTATAGGAGGAGGGTGGGAGGTGAGTAGCAGGGAGGCCAGGAGTCTTGGTCCTGGCTTAGACGGGAATATGGAGGCAGGGCGCCAGGCCCTATGTGGAGGGGAAAGAGAGGGGCAGAGGGAACAGGAAAGGGGACCGAGAGCATTCCAAGCCTTGGGACTGGAAGGACCTCCTCTGATACACAAATATGATTCAGTGACTGGCCAGGAGTCCAAGCCCCTGGCTGGGCCCCAATCTTGCTGCTTCCCAATTTCTTTTGGCCCCAAACATAACAGCCAAGATTCAGTGCTGATTGTCTGCCAGGTGCTCGTTTAAGCTCTGTGCTTGCATTCTTTTATTTCATTCTTACAAATTTGCTCTATAAAGTCGGCTCTATTATTTTCATCACTTAATCTTATTAAAAGACTAAACTGATGCCCAGAGAAGTTAGGTCACCTGCCTAAGGTCACATAGCTAGTAAGTGGTGGTGCTGGGATTGGAACCCAGGCAGCCTGTGCTGTTGGCTTCTCTGCTCTTCAGGCTCCCTTCTGTGTGAAGGAGGACAGAATGGTGCCACCCAGCTGTGATGCTTCATAGTCCCATCCACGTTTCTTCTGCTGCTGGTTCAAGTACATATGTTTAGACTGAAAGTCAGGGTGGTCAGGGAATGCTTTTCTTTGTGTAACAGCACTCTGCCTTGTGGTAGATGTTGGAGGCACTTCATCTCCAGCACACACACACAGGCAAGTGTGCGTGACTGAGCTCATGTGTGTGGGCACACATTGCTTCTTACCATCCTTTCCTCCTGTCCTCCCTCCCTCCTTCCCTTCCTTTCTTCCTCCCTTCCTTCCTCTCTGTACACATTGCTTCTCTTCCTCCCACCCTCCCTCTCTTTTTTCCTTCAGGCTCAGGTACCTTTCCAGGTACCTAGCGCATAGTAGGGCTTCACAAGTCTATTGTACAAACTGCATTAGCATTTCTGGAGTACCTAGTAAAGAGTAAAGGAAAGAGCATAGGAAGCTACTTGCCTGCTGGGTGGTAGACATAGCAGCAAGGGGGAGCATGTCTGTGCTGGGGGAGCACAGCTTGAGTGCGTGCGTGCGTGCATGCTCACGCAGGGCCAGTGCTGTGGCCAGGACTCCTCCTTCCTCACCTAAGCCCAGCCCAGAGGCCTGGCAAGTGCTGATTTCCCTTGGGTACTGACCACTTCCTGTGCTCTGGTATGAAAGCTCAGGGCATCTTCGGGTGGGATTGCCCCAGTTCCACTCTCAGTTGTTCTTGCTGATCCCCAGGTCTGTTGCCCACCCCTGGGTACACTCTGTATTTATT